GTTGAGAAATCAGCTGACAGTCGTATGGATACTCCCTTGTAGGTAACTGACTTTCTTTCTCTTGCTGCTTTTAAGAGTCTCTCTGTGTCTTTTGCTCTTGGCATTTTAATTATGATGTGTCTTGGTGTGGTCCTCTTTGGATTCCTTTTGTTTGGGGTTCTCTGTGCATCCTGGACTTGTAAGTCTATTTCTTTCACCAGGTAGGGGAAGTTTTCTGTCATTATTTCTTCAAATAGGTTTTCAATATCTTGCTCTCTCTCTTCTTCTGGCACCCCTATAATTTGGATGTTGGTACGCTTGAAGCTGTCCCAGAGGCTCCTTACACTATCCTCATATTTTTGGATTCTTTTTTCATTTTGTTTTTCCGGTTGGGTGTTTTTTGCTTCTTCATATTTCAAATCTTTGACTTGATTCTTGCGATCCTCTGGTCTGCTGTTGGGAGTCTGTATAATATTCTTTATTTCAGTCAGTGTATGCTTAATTTCTAGTTGGTCCTTTATCAGAACATTGAGGGTCTCATTAGATTTCTCGTAGGTCTCATTAAGTTTATCGGCAGTTTCTAGAAAATGCTTGAAAAACCTTAAAAGTGTGGTTTTGAACTCTATATCCAGTAGTTTGCTTTCCTCCATTTCGGTCATTTGTGTCCTTTTCCTTTGTCTCCACATTTTTTTATGCTTCCCTGTGTTGATAAAGTGGTTTTCTGTGCTAAGTGTCCTCTAGGGCCCAGTGGTTCAGCTTCCCCAATTACCCGAGGAGGACACTCTTGGTGCACCCCCTTGTGGTCTTTGTGCACAGTCTTGTTGTAGTTAAGCCTTGGTTGTTGTATCACTGGGAGGAATTGACCTCCAGGCCAATTGGCTGTGAGAAGCAGCTATGTCTGCAGTGAGAGAACTTCTGTGCTGGAGACACCCCTCTGGGGCAAGACTTGCTTCAATGGGGCTTTGGTGCTCACCAAGTCTGCCCCTTGAGTGTGTCCTTTATGTTTCCACGGAGCTGCAAACTGGATGGTCCCACTCTGACCTCTGGGTACACTGGCTCCTGGATCTCTAGGGAGGTGCTAATCTAGCCTTTGCCTTAGGCTATCCAGCAAAAGCATCCCTGCAGGTCTTGGGCGGGGCGGGTCCCATGGGATCAACAGGGTGGGGCTAGCAGTTATGGCTGCCCTCAGAGGCTCCGCTTCTCAATGTCCTGGTAATTGCTGCAAGCCCCTCCAAGAGAAAGCTGCCCTCGAGTTCTGACCGATGCCAGACAGTCCCGCTTCTCCCATATGAGTCTGGGTCCCCAGAGACTCGCCCGGAACTGGAGCTCAGAGCCTGAGACTCCCTCCTGATTGAAAACGACAACTGTGTCCTCAGCCGCCAGCCCTCTCCACGTGCGCCTCTGCACCTTGGTATTTTACTTCTGCACTGGGCCTCCTCTGAGTCTCGGTATGCTTTTCTCTTTCCTTCTAGTTGTAGGATTTCCACTCAGCCAGCCTTCCTATGGTTCTGGATGATGTCCGTTCCGTCTTTTAGCTGTATTTTTGAAGTGGTTGTTCGAGGCAGCAAACTCCAGTGTTTACCTATGCCGCCATATTTGTTTCTCGTGAAGTTCATTATTAGTTTGTAATAAAGAAACTTAATTGCACTTTCAAACATAACATAATTTAGCAAGTATTGAGTGTAAAATTATGGGATTCCATATGTGTGTGGCTACATGATGTTTGTTGATTGAATCTGGAGCATATAATATTGAAGAGCATAATTTAGAGTAATTGCTTTTGTCCTGAAATGATTATATCTGAATGGTGATGTGGAGCTTGAGAGGGAATGCCTCATACACTGGAAGGACTGTGTTGGCATTAGGCTTGCCTGGGGCATTTTGCCTTTTCTTCTCTTCATTGTATTGTTTTCTATTCTCAGCTTTGAGAGCATTGGAAAATAAAATAATGAAGACAAAATGACATCGTTATTGTTTAATTAGTTACACCTGTTTTGTTTTGTTTAAAAAATTTTTAAGAACAGTGAAGTTTGCTTCTGTTTTTGTTTACATTTTAAAAACTAACTTTAAACTTAGCAAGGGAAGGAAATGTCATAGATTGCTTGCTCTAAGCCAGCAGTTCTCAACCTGTGAGTCGTGACCCCTTTGGCGGTCGAACGACCCTTTCACCGGGGTCGCCTAAAACCATCGGAAAACACATATATAATTACATATTGTTTTTGTGATTAATCACTATGCTTTAATTATGTTCAATTTGCAACAATGAAATTGGGGGTCACCACAACATGAGGAACTGTATTAAAGGGTCGCGACGTTAGGAAGGTTGAGAACCACTGCTTTAAGCTATATTCCTTGATCATGTACATGTGTCCATTTGCTTCTCTGGTTAATTGTTTACTTCTGCTTTATAAAAATATGTGTATTTTTAAATATTTAATTTCTTGGCATAAATTCTAATATTTCTTTGTGAGGAATGGTTGATGTCCAATAATTTTACCTTAGCATCACAGGATTTTAAAGCTGAAAAATAATTGACAATATAGATTTTAATCTTTCCATTTAATAAATGAGATGACTGATGGCCGTTGAGGCAGTTTTTCTGAGATATTGGCAGGTATAGGACCATGGAGGATTGGTTGCATTAATAAGATGGCTCCAGGGATCTTTAAAATTGCAAGCTCTGATATTCATTTAGCATCTGAAGGCCTATGGCTGACAGCTTTTTGCATATCTGTAACTGCCACATTGTTCTTTGTTCCTTTCTGGCAGTCTACTATACTTTATCTTCTCATATATCTACAAACAAATTAATAAAGTTGGATTTAGGTTTATTTAAAACATGTTCTTAAAACATGTCCTTTCATATTTCTAAGAGTGACCTCTTTAAGGACAGGGGTTTTGTCTTGTTCTACAGGGCCTCCTAGTCTCAAATGTTAAGCTAATTCTTGTCTCTAGGCCTTTGTTTATGCTGTTCTCTCTGCCTGGAATACTCTGCTGCCTCTTTGTCCTTAAGTCCCATGTTATCAGTTAATATCAACTCATTTTTCAAGTCTGACTTCTTGTACTTGGCTAGACCTTGTAGTCTCTCATCATTTGTGAAATAAAGGAATATACTAAATGATTTCTGCAAGGGTTTTCCTAAACTGTCACTAATCCCCACTAAACTGTTAGATGTCCTTGATAGGAGCTGAGATGAGCACCTCTTAGACTTTCATCCATTGTTCTTTCCTAATATGTGTATTATATCTGTCTCTGTCCTTGTAAGTACGGCTTTAGTAGCATCCCACAAATTTTCATGTTATATTTCATATATTTTATGTGATTATGTTTACCTATTATTTGGATATGTTAAGTTGTGCTGTGTTTGTCATAGAATCAATCTTTGTACTTTACTGTTTCTTAATTGTTGAAAACTCAAGTCTTTTTCATCTTTTGCCTTTTCTGTCTCCTCTGGGAACTACTGCTGTTTTCTTATTATCCTAACAGACCTCGAGATTTTGCCGAGCTCTTAAATTCTGTAGTTTGTATTTGAAAGTGCAGAGGTTTTGTTGTTTTATAAACATGTACTTATAACGTATCCTTTTAAAAAGCATATATTTTCTGCTCCTTTAAAACCCCTTCTTTAAGTGAAAATAATTGGTCTCCTTTATTATCAAACTTGGTGCTTACATGACATAAGTGTGGCTGGAAAATTATTAGACCACTTCTCTTGTTTCAGTTTTTAGTATTTCAGTACTGGTATAGGTAAGGTGTCTGGTCTACATTAGAAATATTGACAAGTATTGCCATATAGTTACTTGGGACATGAAGAACAGTAAGATTCTTGTGGTGTTTTGAGTACTTTCATTTATGGGAGATTTTTTTAGAAACTGCTTATATTCTTTTAGGCCACCAAGGTGATATTGAATACAACACAGCACCTTATTACTGAAGTTTTATTTAGTTTTCTATGCTATTGCACCATTTAGCTAAAAAGAATGTTGGACAGCAAAACAATCTAATTTAACATAAATTTTTATTTTTGTGTCAAGAGCTATAAAGTGTCTGAGATTTTTTTTAAAAAATATATTTTTATTGATTTCAGAGAGGAAGGAAGCAGGAGAGAGAGATAGAAACATCCATGATGAGAGAGAATCATGGATCGGCTGCCTCCTGCAAGTCCCCCACTGGGAATCGAGCCCACAACCTGGGCATGTGCCCTTGCCTGGACTCGAACTCAGGACCCTTCAGTTTGCAGGCCGATGCTCTGTCCGCCGAGCCCCACCGGCTAGGGCAGAAGGGTCTGAGATTTTTACCCTACTTGCAAGCTAACAAGTTTCACAAGTGCTTGCAGGAGACACAGTATTCCTTGTCATAGTCAAAGGACAGAATATTACTGACAGCAGCAGAAGTAGCCAGAGCAGCGGTTCCTTGAACCTCAGTTTTTACAGAATGACATAGAGAGAGGCCTGGGTTTCAGCCCCTAGTGTTCCCTTACAGGTCTCTTCCATCCTATAATAGAACATAACACTGAAGCCTGGCTTCCTCTTGAATTCCAAAACTACATTGCCAACCTGCCAACTGAATATTTCCTTTAAGATGTTTTGCCAATACCTTACCAAACTTGTAGCTCTGGTTTGAATATATTGACAAGAAGTTCAGAAGCAAAAGATATGTTATTATTTTCGTATTTTATCCTATTAAAGGAAATTCTCCAAACAGATTATTTTGATAAACGGTTATGGTCTTTTTTATGTGTATTGTTCTATTTATTTCACAATTATAAAGTATCTGTCTTTTCCTGTTTCATATCAGTTTGTTGTATTTTCCCTGCCAAACTAAGCACTTGGAGTTTTGCCTTTATCCCCCACATTCTTCCATATTCTACTCCACCCTCCCACCCCCATATATACACACAAGCACAACACATTAGAAATGCTATAATTGCATGAGGTTTTAGGTTGTTATTATTTTTAATGGTAATGGTTCAGTCTGTATTTATGGGGTAAAAGATAAATCTTGTGTTACTTTTCTCTTTGTAGGTCTCAATGCCTTCCGGAGAGTCCTAAAGAAACAGCCTAACCTCCCTGACAGCAAGGTGGCTGCGTTGGTGAAGATTACTCTGAAAGATTTCTTGCAGGGAATGAATGACGTCAGGCCCAGTGCCATGAGGGAGGCTGCAGTTGATGTCCCAAGTGTAAGTCATTTGTATCCCGCATGCAAGCCATACTGTTTGAATTCAACTCTGAAAGAAACTGAGACGCCAGGGAAACTACCTTCCTAGGCTAAACTTAAAAAAATGTTTTTTAATTGAAATTTTTATGGGGGTAATTGTAGATTCAGTACTGTTCTAAAAAATACTATAGGGACATCCTGTGTATCGTTTATCAAGTTTTCCCTGATGGTAACATCTGCAAAACTAGAGTACATTATCACAAGCAGGATATTTATATTGTCTTAATCACTGATCTTATTCAGATTTTCCCAGAATTACTTGTATTCGTTTATGTGTGTGCGCACATGTGTATATTTACACCTATGGAGTTTTATTACATGTAAAGGTTGTGCATCTTGCCAGAATCAAGATGCTAAAAAGTTCCACCACCACAATGGTCCCCTGTTTTGCTCTTTTACTAGTATAATCACACCCACCTTGTTTCTACACACATCTCTAAAATGTTGTCATTTCAGAAATGTTATATTAATGGAATTATATAGTATAGAGCAGTTTGAGATTAGGTTGTTTCTCTTAATATTATTCCCTGGAGATGCATTCAAATTGTTATGTGTATCAATAGTTTGTTCCTTTCTATTGCTGAGTAGTAGTCTGTGGTGTATGTACCATAGTTTAACCACTCGCTTGCTTGTTAAAGGATATCTGGTCTGTTTCCATTTTGGGGCTATTATAAATAAAGCTGCTATGAACATTCTTGCACAGGTTCTGTGTGAATGTAACTTTTCATTTCTCTGGAGTAAATGCCCAAGAGTGCAGTTGCTGGGTAGTATACTAATTGCATGTTTAGTTTTATCAGAAAATGTCATCTAGGCTAATTTCAGAAAAAAAATATCTTCTAGTTATGATGCCTTCTACTAATGATGCTTGAGGGATTGTGGGGTCTTTTTACATTTAGTTTATCATAGATAGTCTTTGCAAAGTTCTCAATCCAGTCACCACAAGGGCAAGAAGTTACCTTTTCTGCATGGATCATCTGTTATATCCTCCATGTCCCAAGTGGGCCTGTTATATTAATATTTCTGGAAAGTAAACAAAGCATTGGTAGTATTGAGGTACAGGATGGGCCATTAAGCTTTCCTGAACTGTATCTCTGTGCTGCTCAAGGAGAGTTAACAGATTGTTCTCTATCAGTTTTAGGAGTGTTCTGATAGAAGTGGGGAATTTTGGACTGTTCTTTCCTTTTGCCTCTATAATATCACACCATTTAAATTTCTCTTTTGCGATAGTCCTGTTGCTGCTGAGACACTCTTTAAAAGCTCTAACATTATAGCAATTTGAAAACTTAGAGCCTTGTTAGAGAGTCAGATATAATTTTGAACCTTTTGCCTCATTGTATATAGATTTGTTAATATTCAGTTTTCTTGGTCATTAACATTTTTTAATCGTAAGCTAAAAAATAAAAGACTCAAAAGATAGCAAGTCAACAGAGTAGGCTGTGGAACCGTATAGTGAGAAGAATTCAATGGATTTTTTTCACTTTTAAAAGTGACCATTCCTTGAAAAATGTGTTTTATGGTCAAATAGAGGCCTGGTGCACAAGATTCGTGAACTCGAGGGTGTCTCTCAGCCCGGTCTGCGCCCACTCGCAATCCGGGGAGCCCTCAGGGGATATCTGACTGATGACTTAGGCCCGCTCCTGCCAGGCCTAAGCTGTCAATTGGACATCCCTGGCGGGGGGTCCTTAGCGCTGCTGCGGAGACAGAAGAGGCTCCTGCCACCGCCACTGCCCTCACCAGCCATGAACCCAGCTTCTGGCTGAGAAGCGCTCCCCCTGTGGGAGCACACTGACCACCAGGGGTCAGCTCCTGCATCGAGCGTCTGCCCCCTTGTGGTCAGTGTGCGTCATAATGACCAGTTGTTCTGCTGTTCGGTTGATTTGCATATTAACCTTTATTATACAGGATTAGAGGCCCAGGGCACAAAATTTGTGCATGGTGGGGAGGGGTGGTCCTCAGCCCGGCCCGCGCCCTCTCGCAATCTGGGACACCTTGTGGGGATGTCTGATCCCCATGGGGATTGGGCCTAAGCTGGCAGTCGGACATCCCTCTCGCAATCTGGGATGCTGTATGCACCAGTGATCATACTTTTCATACAGGTAAAAAGCATCTTGCTGTTGTATGGGCAGCTACATTTTTTTTGCCCTGATTATAAAAAGTAGTATATAGCATGATCCTTCTGAGACAGTAGCACCATTTCCCCCATCTTATGGGTAGAAAAAGTGAAGCAGAGAGAAGTTAAGCAATTGTCTTTGTCACCCAGTTTTAAGTGTCAGAATCAGGGCTGACTACAAAATGTGCAAGCCAGAATCCATGCATGTCATCACTGCATCATCCTGTTTTTTCAGTGTTAGAGTAGCCTTGCCAAGTTTTAATTTTTAAATCTAAGAGACTGTTCCCAATATATAGAGTAGGGTCCCTAGGCCTGGCGGGTGATCAGGGTTGATCTGTGGGGCGGTTGAGAGGCTCCCCATCCCCTGTTGTCACCAGTCGCCAATTGCCTCCCTCTGCTTGGCAACTAGCGGGCGGGGCGATTGGGGGGCCCCGTTGGCACCCACCTTGGTTGGCAGCCTGCCACTGCCCACTTGCTGGCCCTGACCGAGGGCAGCTCCTGTGTTTAGTGTCTGCCCCTGGTGGTCAGTGCACATCATAGTGACTGGTCATTCCACAGTTCAGTCGATTTGCATATTAGGGTTTTATTATATAGGACAAGAGGCCTGGTGCACAAAAATTTGTGCACTTGCGGGGGAGGGGGAGGTCCCTCAGCCCAGCCTGTGCCCTCGCAGTCTGGGACCCCTCGGGAGATAATGACCTGCTAGCTTAGGCCTGCTCCCGGGTGGCAGAGGGCAGGCCCAATCCCTAGGTGCAGCCCCTGGTTGGGCTCAGAGCAGGGCCAATTGGGGAGTTGGGGCGCTGCCCCTGTCATGCACAGAGCAGGGCGGATCGGGAGGTTGCGATGCCACCCTCAGTCACGCTCAGGGTAGGGCCAATTGGGGGGTTGGGGCACCGCCCCCTGTCACACTCAAGGCAGGGTCGATGGGGAGGTTGCGGCGCCACCCCCTGTCACGCACAGAGCAGGGCGGATCAGGGGGGTTGGGGCGCTGCCCTCTATCACCCACAGAGCAGGGCCGATCAGGGGGTTGGGGCACCGCCACTCTCACACTCAGGGCAGGGCCGATGGGGAGGTTATGGCTCTACCCCGTCACACACAGAGCAGGGCCCGGCGGGGAGGACTGGGTGGGGGGGCGTTGGGGCGCCACACCCTGTCACACACAGAGCAGGGCCCGTGGGGGGCGGTTGGGGCACCGCCCTCTATCACCCACAGAGCAGGGCTGATCAGGGGGTTGCGGTGCCTTCCCCTGTCACTAACGGAGCAGGGCGGATAGGGAGGTTGTGGCCCCGCCCCCTGTCACACACAGAGCCGCAGGGCGATCAGGGGGTTTGGGCACTGCCCCCTGTCACGCTGATCCTGGTGCTGGGAGGCATATTACCCTTTTACTATATAGGACAGAGGCCTGGTGCATGGGTGGGGGCTGGCTGGTTTGCCCTGAAGGGTGTCCTGGATCAGGGTGGGGGTCCCCACTGGGGTGCCTGGCCAGCCTGGGTGAGGGCATGATGGCTGTTTGCAGCTGGTCACACACCCTTCAGGGTGGGGGTCCCCACTGTGGTTCCTGGCTAGTCTGGGTGAGGGGCTGAGGGCTGTTTTCAGGCTGGCGGGTGACTGAAGCTCCCAACTGCTCCTTTTTTTTTTTTTTTTATTCTGGTCTAGCTTTAGCTCTGGCTCCAGCTCTTAGGCCTCTGCTGCTGAAAGCAGGTATCTGGTTTGTTTGCGTTCTATAATTGAAACTCTGTATCAACTCCAGCTCTGAGATCCCGGCTTGCTAAAAGCTGGTTTCTGGGGTTTTGTTTAGCTTCTATATTTGTTACAATGTTTCAAACTGCAAGCTCAGAGGCCGGCAAGGCAGGCGGGGAACGTTGGAGTCCTCCGTCACTGAAGCAAGCAAGCCTCATGTTCGCTTCCAGCTGCCTGGCTGCTGGCCGCCATCTTGGCTGGCAGTTAATTTACATATCGCCCTGATTAGCCAATGGGAAGGGTAGCGGTTGTACACTAATTACCATGTTTTTCTTTTATTAGCTAGGATAAGTTTGGGAAATGGTGGTGTAAATAAAATCAACTGTATTTCTTCGCTGCAGGATTTCTCAGTTTTTTGATACAGAGACTAAAATGTCAAAAGAGCTGTTATGGAAACTTATTTGACCATGAATTATGTGGAGCAGGGACTTGTGCATTTTGCAGTGTGGTAGATTTCTAAAAATGACCACAAATTCTTCCCATCACTGTGTGCTTGCCCTTTGTACTGTAGCTTTGTAGTTCCTGTCATAAAAGAGATAGAGTTAAGTTTTTTCCCTTTGAATCTGTGCTAGGCCATGTAACTTGCTTTGGCCAATAGGATATTAACAGTCATGATGCAAGCAAGCTTGAAAGCGCTTTGGTCTTGCCAGCTCTTGCTGCTCTTTGAGACCCTGCATTAGCCACTTGAAGAAGTCTGTACTCCTTTCCTGGGGGGTGAGAGATCATGTGGAGCAGAGATAAGCCCTACTACCTGAGATCCTCTTAGTCCAGCCGTCCACCCAGTTGTCAGACATGTTGCCACATTAGACTATCCCACCCCAATCGAACTTTGCTCAGACCAGAACCCCAGTAAACCCTCAGAATTGTCAGAAATAATATGTCTGTTGTTTTAGCCACTAAAAGCTAAGTGATACACTTGTTAACTTAAAGAACACAATTATTTTGTAAACAACACCCAAGAGATAGGAACATCCCCTGGGCCTACCTGCTAGTTTAGGCTACTTAAGGTGGTTTTGAATTCTTTTTGAAACATTTTTAAATTTACTTAACTGAACTTACAGCCTACCTTTGGGGTTTTTCCAAAAGCTCTGTAGGAGAACATGCTAATTTAG